TTTTTTGAAATCTTTTTGAAATCACATTTTTTCAAACAAAATATTTGCTGCAGTCATAGGCGGATCCAGGGCGGTCTCCTGGGTTTGAAGGAGGGGGAAAGGGGGAAGGAGGACTGAGCGATTTTTCACCACACCTTCTTCGTTCGTCACTACGCCGTCCCGCACGGGGAGCTCCTAACCCACCCTTCCTATGTCGCATTACCCCACCCTCGCTCGTCTGTCCCATTACACCTCCTTCCTCGCTCCCCTTCGAAGGCTCCTGGAGGAAGGGGACGACAGAAGTATCGAGCAGACTTTTGTATATTAAAACATCTGCTACCTAAATCCCTTGGGAAGGCGGAAGACCCCTCGCCCCTTCCCTCCCCCTCACTCTTCTGGATCCGCCAGTAGCTTCAGGTTCCTAGTCAACAAAACGTTTCATCGCCGTTTAGAAAAAAAACAACTTTCGAGATGAAGTGTTAAGGCCCACCACATACACACACACACAAGCACACACATACACACACAAGAGGGAAATCTCAAAACGGCTCCTACCAAGTCTCTCTTTTGCAGAACCAGTACGCACTCTTTCAGGAATAATAAACTGCGCCCGTTAGAAGGCCAAATCGTAAACTCAATACAAACAGTTAGTCCAAAGAAAATAAAATATGGAGTGGCCGGTCTCAGGAAGTTTAAACCAAGGGTGGGATAAATTTGCCAAAATAACGTTAGTTTCAAATTATTCAAAGCAAAAGGAAAAGGTGCGCAGATAGAAAATCAAAACTTTAGATCACACGTGTTGTAAAATTTCTAGTATAATTATATATTTGGCTTACCTAAGCGTTAAAAGTGTGCCAGTTTGCATCAAAACATTCTTCCTTTTCAATGGAATTTTGCCAACACTAAGCCCTTTTGATGCTTTCGCAAGTGGCTCCGCATATTCGTCCAATTGTGCTTCCCAAATAGCAACTTTCACTAAAACCAAATTCATAGTAAAAAAAGACTAAAATTCTTCACAAGAACAAAAAAAAAATTAAAAAATAATGGTTTTCTTAGAGATAAGAACGCTTCAAAGCTAAAAAATACCAAAAAATTCAAAAAGTTCAGTGAAAATTTCGATCCTCATTTTAAATTCATGCTGAGTTTTCCTCCGATATTTTTGAGATTGTTAAAGTTTCCTACAAACCCAGTCTAATAATCCATCGCTAATACTATCCGTAACTGTATTTTATCTATAAATAAGGTTTTATTGCAGTGAGATATTACTGCCTGATAAGAAGTAATTTATGAAAAAAAGCAAAATCGCCAGAAAAACCTGAAAAAAAACTGAACACAAACATGAAAACTTACCAGAAGCAGCCATTCCATGAGAGAAAGCGAAACGCTCCAAGGTTGCCAGAGAGGAAAAATGGCCATCTAGATAGTCTGTAAAGTTCAGTAGCAGTTGTTCACCCTTCATTCGTGTTTCACCTCTGAAACACATAATATTTTTGTAGATTTATTTCCGATTTCAAGAAAATCACGACCGTCAATTAAGTTTTTTTTTGCAAGCAGTTTCCGGAAGGGCGATTTCCAATTCAACAATCATCATGGTCCAGAAGTGACAACGTTCGTTAAGCTCAAGCACAAAACTAAGGAAACCTCGAAACGGCTAAAGCCTTGCTAAGTCCCCTGCTTGAAGTGCCACTGAAGTGTTAATTTCTTCAGAGAACTCAATGAACGTTCAGGATCGCTAGCAGGCTGATCATCAGGCAATACAGCAGTGCTGCCAATTGTAAGTATCGAGGAAACAAACTATAAATTATATCTAATCCATGTAATCCATATATAAGCTTCAGTTTTTCATCTTATCTGATTCACGAAATCGTTTCCCGCCAAAAAATTTGCGTATTTTTTCGGGAGTCCAAAGCCGAAATACACGAGATCCAGGCGCGAGATATACGAGACTTTAAAACGGGAGAGTGACACGTGGGTTGGGAATATGCCTCCAAAATGTTTCAGCCTCTCAATTTTCCTGTTTGCTGAGTTGAAAGTGGGTGATAAAAAGTATACACTCGCTCCCGAACATACACATAGACGATCAAAATATGTAAAATGAACATTTGTTCATTTGCATACTCGGATTTCCTCACAAACAACTGCTCGAGCAATACTTTTACTTTTTAGTGAACTGGAAATTTGCATTTTTTCAAAAAATTTGTATTCTCAATGTTTCAAAAATATGCGTTTTTACTGCCTGTTGCAGCACTCTAACGCTACACAGCAAAAGCGCATAAAAAGGAAAAGTTTCGACTTTTGGTCCCAAAGAGATAAGTGGTCAGTTCACTAAAACGAATAACAAAAGATCTTACTCCTTGACCATGCGAAACGATAATGTATCGGTTTCTTCCAGTACCAGCGAGGCAGCATATGGTAATTCGGTATATTCGGACAGAATACCCAAGATCTGACTGCGCTAAAATTTGAAAATAATAAATTTTATGTTATATTAAATTTCGCTAAATTTTAAATTTTACGTTAAATTTTTATGCAAAATGTTAGATTTTTATAATAAATTTTAACAAATTTAATGTTGAGTAACTGTATGCTAGTTACCTCGATGTGATTAATCCCCCAAAACACGACCACACCATCCGCGAATACAAAAAATTCTTTAATCGCATTCTTGTCGATAATGTATTGTGATTTAGGTATAAAATGAAGGCCGTCATCGATTTCTGCAAAAATTTTTTTTCGGTTAAAAAACCGATGTCACAAATTCCTGCACAAAAATCCATATTATCTAAAAATAAAAATACCCCACGAACCCCTTAACAATAATTGTGACGTGAAATGCTGGGAAAATTATCAAAAAAACCCAAAATCCTTTTCCGTATTTAAAAGAATCTGAAGTTTTGGCGAACACTATCACAAGTGGTGACAAGCTGTTTTTTTAAAATTTGTTTATAATTAAATCGATGGCAGTTTTGACTCTTTGGCATGCGGTTTTTTGCAAAATTTTGCAGAAATCGTTATTCGTTATTCATCAAATGAATCGTTATTCATCAAGTTGTCGAGGATAGCAAGCCGATTGCAGCAACCAGATTGACCTTGGGAAGCCCAACTGGCAAAAACGCAATAGATTACTGCATGAAAGAACAGTATGAGAGAAGGTAAGAGTGAGATAAGACGTTTCGATCCATTAAGTCAAAATTTCAACTAGAAAAACATCGTCATCAATTCCAGCCTAAGAGTACCGTCACCATCGGTCACAGCAAGACTACTAGCTGAAAAAACCAAGCTTTTTGTAACACACTTTTCCTCTTCAAAAAAAAAAAAAAATGCTTTGTCATTTGATGCTCGAAAATAAAATATATAGCAATTCTTGAATAGTAGAGCAGGAGGATTGGACTTAGGTGCCATGTACAAATATAGACATTTTACTATGCAGTCTGTGTGTGTTTCATCCCTTAGTTGTAAACACAGACCGGACTGTGCTAGGAGTGGGAATCGTCAGTACAGCCTCCTATCCGCCATGTATTGAAAAGACATGTAACTGTTTTGCAAGACGGATATGTGAAAGAAAAAGAGAGAGAGAGAGAGAGTAGAAAAGTGTAACAGCATGAAAGTAATAAGAGTGTAGAGGAAACTAACATACGATATGGGTAGGAAATTCTATGTAGTTATGAGGAGGCAATTTTAATGAGAATAACGTACTAACTAAGTGTTTAATGCCTGCATAAATGTTTTTTGAAGGACTAATATCGATGAATATGTTAGCAAACCTTCATCAATATGTGTACAATTATACAAATTGAGTAGATGTTCATCATCCAGCAGATCAAGTAATTTGAACGATTCGGCCACTGCTACAGCAACTATTTCTGGTCCTTGTGGAAACTGAAAGCATGCAAAAAATGCACGGAAAGAACAAGCACTGTGGTAAAAACAGAAATAATCAAAGGGAGTAATAAGTAATTCCAAACTGAAAATTTCCAATTTTCCATCAAACTACAAAAATTCGTGCCTAATTTCTAGAAATTTACTAAACAATGCTATTTAGGCTTAACTAGAAATTTTCATTTTTCAAAGACTTGAATATCAAAAAAATATTTTTGATATTTTTAAAATACAACAAATTATTTTATATTTTTTAATATCAAAGAAATTAATATCCGAATATCATAAAATATTTTTGAACATCAAAAAATATTTTTGATATCAAAATCTTTGAAAAAAAAATGAACTGGTCCTTTTCAGAACTGGTTTCCCCTCCCCCCTCCGCGCTTCCTTGTAATACCAGTGACTTTGCAAAACAGATAAATCCTCCCTTAGTGCTTTCAAAAAAAAACCAATAATCCTTTTAAAAAGCTAGACCCAAATAGTCAGGATCACTAGCAGGCTGACCAGTAGGTTTAGGACAAAACCAACTGGAAAGTTATCAACCAAATAAGTCGAGGGAACAAATTAATAGCTGTTTCAATTATCAAAGCAAAAATTTTTATAGATTTTAATTTTAAAAAAAAATTTTTAAATTAAATTTTCTAAAGCCAAAATTTTAGATTTTTCCTAAATTTTTTTAAATTTTTACTTTGATAATTGGGGCACTGCAGTTTTGCAGCTTACTTATCGCCCATTGTTGTGCCTGTTAAAGTAAACTGAGTTTTCCAGACCCCCCGGCATCTCACGTACAATCACGGAAAAAGTTCACGCAGGCACTTTTGTAACTTCAGAATTGAAGCTAATAAATTCGATTACCCAGCAAAAACTGACTGCACAGGAATTTCCCTCCATTTGGCCGGAAAATCAGTGAAGGTATTTTTTTGCAAAACACAAAAATTCAAGATAGACTAACGCTTGTGTCGTAGACGGAAGTCAAAGGTCTGCGTCTCCGAGTCGGTCTTCGTACTACAGCTGCAGCAGCATCGGTTGCAGGTGACGAGCTACCAGTCATATTTGTATGGTACCTTCTTGGTTCCACAAATAAATGCCTCAAAATACGTATGCTGGTAAATTCAAATAAGATTTTTTAAACAAATTTCTCAATTTTTTTTCAATTTTTTTTCCCAACACTTTTTTTTTCAATATTTTTTTCAACACTTTTTTTTTCAATATTTTCAGTAATTTCCAATTTCAATATTTCAATGTTTCCAATTCAAAATTTTTCAATACTAATAAATTGAAACAAAAATTTTGAAATAAGATGAATAAAATAAGATATTTGAATGTTAAAAGAATACTAGTAAATTCAAAAAAGATTTTTCAAACAAATTTTCCAATTTTTTTCAATATTTTCAATGTTTCAATATTTTCAATAATTTTCAATTTCAATGTTTCAATATTTTTAATTCAAAATTTTTCAATAGTGATAAATTCAAACAAAAATTTTGAAATAGAATAAATAAAATATTTTAATGTTAAAGCAAGAACTAATAAAATGTTGAAAATATTTTTAATTGGTGAAAAATGTTTCGGTTCATTAAGTCATATACATTTCTTACCATTACCACAAGTTTGAAAGACCGGTCCGTAAAGACGATAAGCACAATTAGGGGTCGAGGGAAAAAGTCTGGAGAAGCTGCTCTCAGCGTGAGACCCGATTTCAATAACATATATTTAACCAGCCAGAGTTCCTCCATCTTTCCATCCACCACCCTTTCTCCTCCCCCTTCCTTGCCCGTCTTTTCAGAATGTACATGGCCTAACCCATCGAAAAAGCATCCACGCCACGCAGTCAATCAACCCACTCACCCGATCCGATGATGCTAGGTCAACGGCATTTTTTTTTTTTTCAAAACTAACATTTTCTCAATTTTTATGAAAGGCACTCAGACGGTAACTTCTTGAATATCACAGTTCCAACTGCAAACATGCAATGGCAAAAATTTTTAAACTGTATTTTCTACTATAAATTTTAAACAATATTTTAAACTATGTTTTCAGTGTGCTTGAAATTTTAAACCAAATTTTTTCTCACACCAAAAAAAAAATGTGAAAAAATGTGATATACCTATAATTTCATGAAGTCAAAATACAATAGAATAA